GTCTCCACAAGATTCATACATTGAAATTGTAAGCGCAGCTGTTACATTATTTGGAGATAGGGCCTATAATGAGGTAATTAAGATTAAATGAGGTCCCCTAGAATTAGTGTCCTTATAAGAAGAGACACTAGAGAGCTCATATGCATGCTCACTGGCTCTTTCTGAATGCTATGAGGAAAGTCTGTATCAGGACAAAGCAGTCATCCACAATCCAAGAAGAGAGCTCTCACCAGAAATGGAACCCTGTTGGAACCTTGATCTTAGACTTCCTAGACTAAAAACTGTGAGAAAATAAATTTATGTTTTTAAGCCACCTTGTCTGTTGTATTTTTTATGGCACCCCAAGCCGACTAATACAGGATTTACCATGTTGAGCACATATTTACAAATTGAATCTGTAGTTTATATGATTTGTAGATAAGATATATAACTTTTCGTTGGAATAAGAAGTGAAAGGTTTTTAACCTGGTAGTAGAAGGAAGACTCCACCGTTTCTGTTTTTCTCTGAGCCCCTAGGTTTTGGGGAATTATGGTATTGAGTTGGACATTATGAGTAATTCATTTGGATTTTGGAGCTAAGTAGTAGAAGAACCTGAACATAGTTGAGAAGCAATTATTATTTGAAGGCCGAAAGAAAAGAACCAAGCTAGAGGGCTTCTTTCTATACCCATAACTACCTATAATGTTAATAACCTTATTGACTACCTCTGTTATAGTAATTAGTATTATATTGGTGGGGACTGATATCATATCGTTAATGTTACCACCTACAAACTTTGTTTTAAGTAATCTAATTCTAATGAAGAGCCAAATGTTGGAGTGGGGGCTTGCAAATGTCTAAGGCTGCTGGGGTTTTTTTGTTTGTTTGTTTTTTAACTTTTGTTATTGCTGTGGTATGGCAGGGCAAATAGGATTTCTGAGAAAATATTGTTAAGTAAATACAACTGTTTCATAGTTGTTCCCATCTCCTACAAACACATTTTTAACCTTTTCTGGCTTGCGTCAATACGATACTTGTAAAGAGGGGCATAGGAAGTGTCATGAAACTTGGACTGGCGAATATCCTGCCCAGATGTACATCACTTTTCTGTACTGTTGCTGATTACATGCAACTACATTTCCCTGAGAGCTACTACTATTGACCTGAAGGTATTGGCTGCCAGTTGGCAGGGAAGGTTCACCTAGATTCCTGTTCCTGTCTAAAGACTTGGAAAAATGGGGAGAGTTTCTCCAAAGGTTTCTTAAAATTACATAGTGGCATAAAATGTTCAGAAGTAGGAAAATTCCTTAAAAAGCAATATCTGGTTACCCTCAGATAAACATTTCCATTAATATTTTATTTCATGTTGAATCCCTTTCTGTATTGCAGTATATTTTTCAATGTACATTGGTGGACTTAAACCATATGATAAAAAATATTTTCCAAAAACATTCTATTTCTGTCTTACTATGTACTGTTTTCCTTATATCCTTGTCATTGAGCAGCTTCTCTCAACAGGCTCAAACCTTTTTTCTACTTTGATCTGTCTTGGAATATGTTGAGGTCTTATGTCCTTTTGGGAACTCATACATATTTTAATAACACATTTAAGAATGAAATTGCCTATTTTTCCCCTCTGTGTGTTGGGAAAATAAAAGTTTGTTCAATTTTTAGATAATACATACTGAATGTCCCCATAGTTACTGCCCTGTACAAGATAGTTATCACTTTCAAGATATGATCTTTTGTACTCATTTATGTTTATTCTCTTTCAGTCTACTTTAAAATAATTAACTTCTCAATTTCCCCCATTAAATATTACTTTTAGGTATTTTGGATTTTTAAAAATTCCATATATGCGGTCTTTACAAAAGACATTGGATGAGCCTTTGCAAATGAGAAATTAGAGCCCCACATTTTGAAGGAATAGTTTTATTCTGTCTACTAAAAGTCTAATTTCTTCCATCTTCAGGCATCTGTCCTAAACACAGTGGGGTTGTCAAGTAGAAATCCTTCACATCTTTGACACAGATAGTTCCTTGCAATACCAAAGTGGATGTTGGTAAGAAACCAGGAGAGTGCAGACAACTCTGCATTTGCTTTACCTCTTTAAATTTTTTTTAAAATTTTTTTCAGAGAGAGGGGAAGGGAGAGGGAGAGAGAGATAGAAACATTGATGAGAGAGAACATTGATTGGCCGCCTCCTGCATGCCCCACACTGGGGATTGAGCCCACAACCCAGGCATGTGCCCTAACAGGAAATCGAACCGGTAACTTCTTGGTATGTGGGTCAGTGCTTAACCACTGAGCCACACCAGCTGTGCTGCTTTACCTCTTATGAGGGTTCTGTAGAACACATATTCAGCAGTGCCGGAAATTCACAGAATGTTAAATCTGGAAGAGACCACAGTGCTGTGCACTTTTACATCCCCATGTGCTTACTTATGGAGTGCCTTTTCTTCCAGGTTGCCTGGCAAAATACAGCTTATCCTCTAGCACCCTGCCTCCTGAATACACCATCCCTTAATCAGTGATAGCAAGCATAGTAATAAGAAACTGTATAATCCCCCCCCACTATGTGTTTGAATGCCCTCTAACATATTAAATAATATAGTTTTTAATCTGTGTTTTTTTTCTATTTATCCTACAAATTTTAAATGTTTGCTTGAGTAGAGAGGATTATAGTAAGAATGATGTCCATATATCTTTTAGTGCAATAAATAAGAGAATTGAAAGTAAAGTTTTAAATGACTTTCATTTCTTGTGTTTCTGATAGGAAATGAATTCACTCACACTTTTAGATTTCTCTCTCAAGTCACTGAGGAAGAGAACATGCCACTTAGTTCTGTGTTTTTGAGAATCCATCATGGTATTTTAAAGACATGTTATATGTGGTACAGTATGATTCACTTTGTTCTGGGTCTGCCAGGGGACATATCTTACGAAGAGATGTTTTGTATAGGCATTGTTATGGGAGAGGATTGGTATCTTATTGTCCATATAATGGTTGCTAACATTGACTCCATCAATTTAGAAAGTAAAAAAAATAAATAAATAAGAGATGAAATTCATCTTTAGAGATAACTGGTGCATTTTAGGATACTAGTATTTGTGAGAAAATAATTCCATCTAAGTTTTGTCTTTCTGATCTAGTATTAGTCCAGAGCAATAGAGAAAATCTCCAACTGGATCATTAGACTCTTGTCTCAAGTTATAAGATATTCAGTACACATGATGTAGAAAACAGAAAACCTGGAATTTACATTTTGCTTGTATTTTAGTACCTTTAGTGTAGTCATTCAGTACTTGAATACTAACATTGATAAAAGCTTGGCCCTATATTTTAGTCATCTTTTTCAATGCCTCTGCGCATTTGGCTCCTGGAAGAAGCCAGTTCTTAGTACTGCTCCCTGGTTTGTATATTGTTTATTTGGGAACCTGTCTGCCATTGTGGCTACCTGTCAGAACTCAGCACAATTTAAATGTTTGAGGTGGGTGACTGAAGTGTTTAACAGGATATCTATTCCACCCCTGATGACTGATTAGAGAGTATTTTAAATAACGAATGTGTTCTCCAACTCAGCAGCATATTATCACAAATATATGACATATGGTATGTCTCCCTAAGATTTAAATTTTTAGAAAGCTTAAATCTATTATATTATACTAGTAACACTGTGAATGCTCATATTAACACGAACCATCCCCAACTAGGTGTCTATCTTTTACAAAATGTCCTAAAATATGTAAATTAATTTATTTCATAAAACTGACATATGGAGTTGCTTCTGATAAAAATAATTGTTTTTAGACTTAACCAGTAATTGAGACTGTCAGTGGTTTGCTGCAGAATCCAAACATTTACTCTATTAAACTTCATTTAAAACGATATTACTTTCTTTTCTTTAAAAAAATTTTTTTTTTCTTTATTCTAGAGAGGGAAGGGAGAGGGAGAGAGACAGAAACATCAATGAGAGAGAACACTGATTGGCGGCCTCCTGCACACCCCCCACTGGGGATTGGGCCCACAACCTGGGCATGTGTCCTGACCAGGAATCAAACAGGCAACCTCTTGGTGCATGGGTTGATGCTCAACCAGTAAGCCACACTGGCGAGACTATATTATTTTTTTTTGTTTTTTTTTTGTTTTTTTTTTTGGTATGTTCCCCAAGCCCGGGACTCTGGTCCGCAGGCCAACGCTCCAACCGCTGAGCCAAACCGGCCAGGGCTATATTACTTTGGTAGTTGATGCTTGAGAGATTGTACTTATTGGCAATAATTTTACCTAAAATTTAAAATAAAATTTCTTGTTTCAGAGCATTACTTTGTTAATGTTTGCTCTTATCCTTCAGCTCTCTGAACTCTACTCATTTTTATAGGCCAATCTGAAGATGATCAAGCTCAATGAAATTTTCTTCTATCCCAGTAGCTTAATTTATGGCAGTTTGCTGTGAACATGCCTGCCTTCTGTACTGGCTCCTAGAGAGCAACAACTATGTTTTAAGCAACTCTGTATTTCCTGTAGTACCTTTCACAGTACTTTGCCCTGATTTATTCAGTTAAGTATTTATTGAAATTGGTGATTTCCTAAACTAGACTTATGAATCTATCAGTAATTTGAGGTTTAAATAAGGATTCAGGCAGTCAGCCATGATGGCATTTTGGAAATGATGGTTAACGCTCTTATTGCCCAGGTTTGAGTTCCTACTTTATGTATGAACTGTGGGACTGCCTCATACCTAAAATAGAAATGTTAGTAATAGCACCAGCCTCCTAGAGGTGTTGATGAGGCTAACATATAGATAATTTGTTTAAAACATTTATTGTGCTGCCTAATATATAGGATATACTCAGTATGTTGTAGCTATAATTATTGCTAAATGCAGTCCTATTGGGCTGGACCCAGCCGCTTGAGGTCCTGTCCTTTGGTCTTTGTATCTCAGGCATCTAATCTTGCATATAGTAAATACTTGCTTAAGTTGAATCGATTGATTTGCCCTATTTTTATCTTCCATTACAGCCCACTGTTTGTAACATGGAAGATTGGTCGAGACAAAAGATTGCGTGGATGCATAGGTACTTTTTCTGCCATGAATTTGCATTCAGGACTCAGGGAGTACACACTTACCAGGTGAAAACCAATTTTTGTTACCTCTGTTTCTACATTAAAAAAAAGAAAAACTTATGAAACTTGAACCTGATTATTTAATTCTTTTACTGAATTGTCATTATTTGTGACTCCTTTAATGTTCAATTTTTTTCTTCAACCATTTGCCATATCTCTGGTAAAATGTTATTGATATGTATTATCATAATATAAAATACTGTGATTACATGTATTCTGCCATAGATGTTTTGAAGTGTTTTCTTTTCTTTCAATACCAGATTACTTTGTATAACTTGAAAATCAATAACCAAATATCCATGGGTTACCAAAATGTATTATTTCCACAATTATAGTCATGGTGTCTTTGTTAGGCTTTTAAAAAACTATTGATGTACATTTAATCTTGGACATTTTCTTACACTTTTATGTATTTTTGAAATTGAACCAGTAACCTGGGAAGAAAATGATGCCACAGCCTGGCAGCATAATCATTTACATTCACACTTCACCCCAAATTAATTGTAGCTTACTTATTTTGCTTCATCTGACACAAAGACAAATTAATGAATGCCTCATTACAGTTTTTAGGACTTTGTTCTTAATTTCTGAACTCACTAAAAGCTATCTAGCATGCCGTCTGATTCTTTTTTCATTTCAAGTGTAGATTTCTAGCAAATTGTGTTCCAAAATTATTTCAAAAGAAGAAAATTCCTTAAATAATAAGCTATCAGTAAAGGAATTTCCTGTTTTTGTTCACATTTCAGGGTGAGTAATACAATTTCTATAGTTGTAATACGTACAAGTGTCCATCCAACAAGAAATTGGTCTCTCCTAACTATTGGTACTTGGAGCAAGTTGCTTAACCTCCAATAAATAAAGTACTAATTACAGTATGTATTTTGTTTTATATACATAATATGGATGTTAGAGAGATGTTAGGAGAATGAAGTCATAATCAATCATTACTGTGCTTCAGTATTAATGTTCTGGAACATTCATTATATTACTTTAGAATCGCATAAATGCAGCTCATAACACCAGTTAATAAATTGCTGGTAACTGAGTTTAGTATTCTTTTATTTGAAGGTGTAACTCAGAGCTACAGGGTTTTCTTTGCTTACAATGAAGCCCAGAAAGAAAAGCAAAGGCATGGATGGTTACATTCATAGATTTTCACAGGTATTAGAAACTTGGTGTTTGGACTTGATTAAATAACATACAGGCAGTAAAGGGGTCAAAACACATATTCTGGAAATAAAAGGTAGTGTAAATGCTAGTCTAGGCATGTTAGATTTTTTTTTCTGATGTAAAATACTATGGACTCATTTTTAAAAATTATCTATTTTTATTGAATTTATTGGCAGGTGCATATGAAATTACTATACTTTTAATAACTAATCAAGGCAATTTATTATACATTTCTTAATATAATTTATTATGAGGAACACTAACTGGTTCCTTTGTATTTTCTGAAGAAAAGGATTTTATTGCCAAATATATTTTAGAAGCACTGGTTAAACAATTTTTTTTTTATCCTCACGCGAGGACATTTTTTGTATTTACCTTCACATACAGTGGGAGGGAGAGAATGGGGAAGAGAGAGAGAGAAACATCGATGTGAGAGAGACACATCAACTGGTTGCCACCCACACGACCCCAATTGGGATGGGAGACAAGGGCAATCGAGGTACATGCCCTTAGCTGGAACCGAAACCGGGGCTCTCTGGTCCACGGGTTGACGCTCTAACCACTGAGCCAAACCAGCCAGGGCTGGTTAAACAAATTTAAACAGCTCTGTTAACTGCAGGACTTTTCAGAACCTTTCGTGTTCACAGTGTAGTTCATCTCTAAGAGAGATATAGAAAATACAGCATTTCACAGACTTCAACTTTTTTTAACTACTGAACCCTTTTATCCTCCCACTCTGGTGTCTTATGCCATTAGTGTTCTATGGAATATATTTTCAGAAACATTCATTCTGTTTTAATTTTTTTTTAATTTTTCTTTGTCATTGGGGAGTCTGAGTTGATAGTATGGAAACCCTTTGTACTTTCTAATGAAATGTGTCAGAAATCCTGGTATCAAATATTATATACTTTAGAAATCTTTAGTATTAGTAACTGTAGTAGCAGTTTGGCTTTGTTTAAAGAAAATATGATTTTTTTTTTTTTTGCCTACATTGATGAGAAAAGATGAAAATATCCAACCCTTTTGGATCTGCCTCCAAGGGTAATTACCAGAAGAATTACAGTATATTTTTCTGATAATAATGTGATTTTGAATTAATTGTTCAAATAGTTGAACTTGCAAATTTCCTACACACCTCATTGTAGTCAGTGGCTCTTCCTGTTTATTTTTCGATTTTTTTCCTCATGTTTTTATATGACTTCCTGACATTGTATATATCACATTAGAAAGATGTGTGTTTGTGTGTGTATGTATACATATACATACCTAGTCTTCTCATTTTTGTTCTGTTTAATTTCTTTTGCTTAATATTATAATAAGAATGACGTTATTTAGAAGAGATGTACAAAAGAAAACAAGTCTTAAAATATACAGTTGCTCTTTTTTTCTGGACTTATTTTAGAATTGAAATTGTGGAGTCACTTTTAAAAGTTACAATATAATGTCTTTCAGTTCAATAATAGGGCACTCATCACTTCTACATGCTGCTGCTATTGTTACTGTTATTATTATTATTATTATTAATAGCTCCATTTATTAAGAACCTTATTACCTGTCAGACACTGTAAAAGAGCTTTATATGCACGATCCTCACAATAACTCTTTGGTATTAATATCCACATTTAAAATGTTTTTATTTTATTTATTGAATTTATTGGGGTGATATTGGTTAACAGAATTATATAGGTTTCAGGTGTACAATCCTATAGTATATCCTCTGTATATTGTATTGTGTGTTCACCCCAAGTCTCTTTCCATCACCACTGATCTTCCCCTTAACTTCTTCTACCTCCCCCTACCCCTTTCACTCTGGAAACCTAGATTTACATAATTTAAATAATATGCCCATTCACATATATCATAAGTGGTAGAAGCAGGATTCAAACCAGGCCATCTGAATGCAAAGTTCAAGCTCTTAACTGCTACTTTTAAGATGAGACAACATAATTTTTTTCTGAGAATATAAGTTTTGTAACTTCATCAGGAAAATAATAAACTTGGAAGCAGATTACTATAATTCTATAAATCACGGTTCAATAATTCTTTAAAAATTCTAGTTGGGAGTTAAGATTGAAATTTTGGAATATTATATTAGATTCCAGGAAATCGACAGATAGGATTATAAAAAGTATATAACTCAGGGTTATATAGACTAGTCAGAAGAAAACTGACTTGGATTAATATTGTAGAAAAGGATAATGCTTGTTACAAAAATATACTACTGCATGGTATGAAATTGTGTTCTTTGGCTACATGTAGATAATGTACTAGATTCCAAGGATACAGTTTTTTAAAACATAATAATTGGTGATTCTTGGAATTTGTTCTCCCAATCTTAAAAACCCATAAATCACAAAATTTACAATGGAATAAAATGAACTTAAGGGGTTGGGGATAAAAAGGAAAGAGAAAGCAAAATGAAAAATAAACAATGAAAGTAAAGACTCACCAGGTACATATATCTTTTGTTTTTAAATATTTCTTCACTATCTTCAACTGTGATTAGATAGACTATTGTTCAGTTTTCAGAATGTTACTCAGCTGTATTCTTTTTTATTGTAAAATATACATAACATAAAATTTACCATTCTCACCAATTTTAAGTGTACAGTTCTATGGCCTTAAGTTCATTTGATGTGCATCATCACCACCATTCATCTCTAGAACTTTTTCATCTTCCCCAACTGAAATTCTGTGCACACTAAACACTACCTCCCCATTCCCCCCTCCCCCATCCTTGACAACCTTCATTCTACTTTCTGTCTCTATGACTGTGACTCTTCTAGCTATGTCATATATAGTATTTGTCCTTTTGTGACTGGCTTATTTCATTTAGCGTAATGTCTTCAAGGTTCATCCATGTTATAGAATGTGTTAGAATTTCCTTCCCTTTTTAAGGCTGAATAATATTCCACTGAATGTATCTACCACATTTTGTCAATCCATTCATCCATCTGTGGACACCTGACTGGTTTCCAATTTTTGTCTATTGCAAATAATGCTGCTATGAACATGGATGTACAAATACCTGTTTGAGTACCTCAGTTGTGGTTTATCCCCAGCCCCAGTTGGGGTCATGTGGGTGGCAACCACTCGATGTGTCTCTCTCATGTTGATATTTCTCTCTCTCTTCCTCCCCTATCTGAAGATGAATGCAAAAAAAAAAAAAAAAGTCCTTGGGTGAGGATAAAAAAAAAAAAAAACTCACTATTTTATAGAAGACAGTGATCTAATTTGTTTGTGGCCCCTTAATCTCTAAAACCTAAATCTTAAAAAAAAAAAAAAATGACTAGGTACTTTTTAAATAAAATGCCTAATCTGGATTAAGTTTTTATTGATAAACATACTGTTTTAAAGTTAAAATATTTGTCGTGTATGTTCTCTTGGTTGAAATTTTGATTTTAGACTGAAGTAAAACCTTATAAATAGGCTGAGGATTTCCTCCCAGTTGTAAAAAATGCATAATTTCTATGTATATAGCTGGAAAACTTTTAACATTTATAACATGGAACTATTAAATCGGCTATTCTTTCCTTGTCTTTGGAGACTCTGGGTAAAAGCAGGAAAGTCTATAGCAAATGAGAAGCAGGATGGAGAACTCAGAATTATTGGTAGAAGTTTATCCATGGTTACAAGTTAAAGTCCACATAACTATATTTATTAGTGGTCAAAACTTCAAAGTAGAAATATTCTTTGTCCCAGTTGAAGAAGAATTTCTAGTATTTACCAAGGTACTTGTGTTTATGGCTTTTCATGTTAGAAAACAGAGACAATTATTTCCTCCCTTTTAGTACTTAGATTATATACTTTCATAGATAAGAGAATTACAACTCATA